TTAACATTCTGAATGCTAATGTGTATCTTTTATAAAGGCATTATTGCCTATATTATGTTCTACTTATTTTATGAAGAGTTCTGTCAGACATTTTCTTTTGATTTAAAATTATAAATAATGATGCTTTTCCCAAACAATAGTCTAATTTAATTTTAGTTTTAAAAGTGTAGTAGGTGTGAGTTATACTCTCAAAAGTTTAAAGCTCTGCTTATAGCTGACTTAAAAGTTCTCTGTGTACATCGCACTGTGTTTCCCTTATTCTTGCCCTTGGACTTGTTTTCCCTTTCTGTTTCTCCTTTATTTGTGTGATAATTCTCATACCACTTTATGCACATTGGGAATCCCCAAAACTTTAAAAATTTTCAAGAAGGTGGAGCATAAACAAGTAAATCAAGTGATGCAGGAAAACAACAACAACAGTACACTGTCTAACGGGAAACTAACATCTAAGATGCTATTATTTTTAAGGGATCACATCCTAGTGCTGGACGTGACTAGAGACCGCCTTTTGGGATTAACTCCTAAAGCTTTAGTCATCCTGGAGTATGTAATTTCCATAGATGTTTGCATTAAAACAGCAGTCAATTTTGCGATTCTCCCTTGATGTCTGTCTCTAAGCTACAGAATGTTTTCTCTGACACCGGGAGATGGCTAGCTTTTAGAGGAACCTCTACAAGTCAGCCTCAGCTCTTTTGCCCCCGTCCCCGCCAGGGTCACCTGCAGGGCCTGTAGATCAGAGAAGGTTTTGTCGGCGACTGTGTGAATGCCATTACTGTGCAGCATGAGTAACTCCAGTTTGTTCAAGCCAGAAAAGTCTGTTTCTGTCAACCTAATCAAGCTGTTGTACCTGAAATAAAGGGGTCAGTTAGATCATCGGTGTAAGCTAAATCTGCTCACTGAATTTCTAAGGTTACACACACACACGCACACACACACACACCCAATGCTTCCCTTGTTTTCCTGTGTCCTAAAGAGTTTTTCAAATGTTTGAAATATTGCTTAATTCATTCACCAGATTCTACCAGAAGACCAACTTCACCCTCCCCAGTTTTTTCAGTCTGGGTTTCAGTCAGCCTCTCCAGATTCCCGAAATTCACTTTATTCATTCTCACGTTCAGATCTTGGGGTTCATGCTGAAACCTCAGGTCGGGTTTCCTTTGGCCCTACCCTTTTCTATCTGTGAACATTGAGATCCACGCTGGGCTTTGAGGACACTGACCCCTGAAGCCTTCACTAGTAGTAGAATTACTGGCTTCTGCTTTGGGTGTGACTACGAGCTGAGGCACTTAAGTTTTACGCTTCCCTAGGGAAAATCGGGAGCCTTTCTGCATCTCAGATTTTCCAGGTATAAATTGAACTCCTGCCAAAGTGTTCTGAGGTTTAAATGAACACACAGAGTGAGAGCGCCTACATCAATGCCAGTGTATAGTAAACACAGGGCGACTGTGCACCACTAGCTTTGTTTGTTGCCCCCCAGGCACTTTGTATACTCTGTTACAGTCCATATTACATTGGATTGATGGTGCACCTTTCACTACAGCTTCCAGAGGTGAATAATGTCACATTTTTATCATTATGTCCCCAGGGCCAAACTTTGTGATTGACATAAAGGAGATGCACACTGATGTCACATAAATACTTTTTCATGAGCCTTTAAAATCATCTCTTGACATTTAATTAGCCAAGCATTTTAAATAAGCCACCAATAGCAATGCCTAACTTCAATTGGGTGCTTACCATGTCCTAATATTTTATTTATAAATCTCAAATGACCTTATAGGAGATATGGTGGACTTTTTGTATCTTTCACAGAAAGGACAGTAATTCCATTTGCCCCATCATGTCTTGTATTATAACTTAAATTCCTATCTGGAGGTATATGATTTTCCAGTAAAAATGTGTCTGGAGGGAAGCTTTTATACAATCATGAGCCTACTAAGCTACCAAGAGGGGCTTTAGGTTTTAGACTTACTTCATCCTAGTAACAGATTACTGGGAAAAAGTCAATGTTTTCCCCAGCAAGCAAGCTCATTTTAGAAGAAGAGGAAGGAGGAGAGGAAGAAGAAGAGGGGGAGGAGGAGGAAGATGAGGAGGAGGGGGCAGGATGAGGAGGAAGGGGAAGAGGAGAAGAGAGGAGGAGGAAGAGGTGGAGAAGGAGGAGGAGGAGAAGAAAATAGTTGCAGCTAATCTTTCACTAGGACTTGTGAGACAAGGGCCTAATATGCTCTATCTTTCCCCAAGAGAGGGTCTCACGGGGCCCCACGCACCCTAAATTCATGCGCTCCACATCAGGGGAGATGCCATCTGGGATGGAGGTCAGGTACCGAAATGTGCAGTGCACCTCTGTGGCTATGTAGCAGGCACAGCGGCGAGGACAGGCCCTGCTCCCAGGGGAGACCACCAGGCACATCGTGGTGCAGGAAATGAGCCAATAGCTGATTTCCCTGCCTTTCACTTTCATCCTGAAAAAAAATCACATTTTGGAGTTACAAACAGTTCAAGCTAAGTCACACCGTACAGTAACTCTGGGAAGCCAGGAGACCCACAGTATTATAGGCCCTAAGTGGCTAATTTCACACCCTTTGTGGTAACATGCACTCTTTATAAAACTATAGTGTGTCTAGGCCTCACACTGAGCTTTACCGCCAAGTGGGATATTTACTGTTGAGAAGATTTTTTCACAGCTTCTTAATGAGAAGCCACAATCTCTATCATGATTTGTGAAAAAGGAAAATGACAGACTATAATCAAGATAACGTGAAGGGTCCCTTTAAGTTGACTTTCCAAATACATAAAAATAATACACGTGTATTTTAGAAAATAAGCAAACTATAAATAGAGTTTAAAAAGAAAATAATAACCTCCACTCATATAATCAGCGTTTTGGTATATTCCTTTCCAGCCTTTTTTTTTTTTTTTTTTTCAGTGCCAGGGATCAAACTTGGGACCTTGTCCTTGCCAGACAGGTGCTTATGTCACTGAGCTATATCCTGAATTCCCAGCCTTTTTATATATTGTATTAATATATGCATATATGTATCCATATATTTTCAAACTGAATTTTATAACATTTAATCATTTACTGTATAATGTATGTTCTCTTTGATTAAACGTTCTCCAAAAACATTTCTAAGAGTTATAATAATCTATTGGAAGGAAGAATAAATCTGTACCATCTCTTCAAGCCCACGCAAAAAAGACACCTTGGACATTTCACTGTCAACTAATGACCACCAGCCGCAGGACATATCTGCTGGGAAGGCTTGTGGCTTGGCCTCTGGGCAGTAGCTACGCTGACCCTGGTTGGCAATGCTGCCTGCTTCGGCTCTGCTTAGAAACACCCTCCATCTTTCTTGCTGGCCTCTTCTCCCTGGAATGTTCCATCTGCCAAGGGGCTGAGGAAGTGTGACCAAGGATGCGGTATGTTCATCTTGTTGGACAAATGATATCTGCTACCCACATGTGAGGCAAGCCTAGGATCGAAAGCTAATTTCCTCCTGAAATTCAAAACATACAGAGTTGAAATAAAATCTTTATGATGCTTTTCCAATGAAAGTGACCTATATAATTTATAAAGCTTAATATTCCTTTGAATAAAATTATTTCAGATTCTTCTAGTAACCGCCCTTCAGCTATGAAGTATACTAGAAATAATACAGAAGCTAAGTCGCTTGTATCTTCCTACAGATACAAAGATAGACTGGAGTTCAGCCTGAATTACAATGTAATAGATCATTAATCATATCACCACTTTACTCATCATTATAACCATTTTCTTTGCATTTTGGGGACATCATTTCCACCTCTCTATGATGAGATAGGCAAAGAAAGGAACACTGGGGCAATAGTGTCTCTATTCAGGTAGAAAACAGAAGTTCTGTGTGTGCCCACACGGGAGTTATTCAAAAGGAAATCAGAAGTGCGAGAATGTGGATGTATTATGTGAACCCACAGCTAAGACTATTCCGAATGAAATAGGAATCGACAATACCTGAGCTATTCTTTCTTGGTCTTGAATCCTCTGGTGATGTGGGCGGAGAGAAGAAATCTTCGCGGGAAATGGAAACTTGAATCCACACCTGAGGGAGGAGAAAGAAGTTCTGCGCCCTCACAGGAAGCCAGCGCCTTGCGATTCCTGGCTTGCTGCCCAGGACTCGCACTCTGCTCAGGGCCTGCAGGCGCTTCCCTAGCTGCAGGATACAGTTGTCAAATTAACCCAGAAGTGTTTCTTTATTATAATGATTGTTTTTGCTGCTGGAAGCTTTAAAATCCACCCCACCCCACCCCAGTGTGCTTCAGCTGGACTTAAAGTTAACACCTCCATAGAATTGTTATCTCTATCGCTCCGCCTCGCGCTCAGGTCCAGAAGGGTCTCCTGGTGTCCCGGGACGACCGTGCACGCGTGCATCCGCGTCTGCAGAAGGCTCTCGCCTAGAAGGCTGGTCGTCTTCCCTGAGCTTTCTGACTCCCATCCAGCAACGAAGAAGCGGCGTGGACTGGTCCCTTTCACCCGCCCGGCCCCCTCCTGTCGCCCCGACCTTCACCCCAGCTCCCGGCCTCGCGACCTCCCAGGGTCCCATCCCTCCCGGGAAGGACCGGCCGCGCTCGCTCACCTCCCGGCCGACCGCGCTCCGCCGAGCAGCCAGCGGCGGCTGCAGGAAGGCGGGGCGGGTGACGCGGCGGGATCCCAAGCCCCGGCTGCCCGCACGGTGGGAGTCGGGAGAGGGCTCACCCAGCCGCTCTGCGTTTTGCTAGCACCCTGAAGGACCCTTGTGCGCCTTCTTTCTTGCTTTCTCAGGATTTGAAATTCCCAGGACCCCGCCAGCGCACCTCAGCTGAGAGGCTGGGCGGTGTCAGCTGCTGGACGTTCCTTTCCTCGCGCTCTCTGTCACCTGTTGATAGGTGGGTCTTTCGGTTTGGTGCTTTAAAGCACCAAAGGATGTCCTGGGTCTGTGGCTTGGGGAAGGTCTGTTTGAAGGCTGAGGATTATAACCTGAGATCCACGCAGATTAAAAATTCTGTTTAATTCTATAGGAGAAACACTTCCCTTTTGAATTATTTTATTTTTTTTTTGTTAAGTTTATTGGTACAATGAGGAATTTAGATATGCACAAGATCACATTCATCTCAGGGAATTTGTACCTTTACATGGTATATCCCAGCTCCTATTTTTTTTCTCCCATTCCCTTCCCCTCTCTTCGAGCCCTCTTCCCCTCTTTACAGAACTGTTTCCATTTGATTCTTCTCTTGTCCTTTTTCTCCCCATGCCCCTTTCCTTTTGAACAATTTCTTCCTGTTTCACCACATCTGTTATATATTTTGGTTCCTATTTACACTTTCAGTTTCTCACACTAAAGGAACAATGGGACACCCACGTGGGTGTCCAATGCAGTCCACCTAAGAGTATGACCTCTAGGTCCGTACACTCTTTTGTGAAGACACCATGAAGGGGCATGGCTGGGTCAAATACGACCTCTAGTTTCAGCTTTTTGAGGCATCTCCATACTGATTTCCACAGTAGTTGCACCAGTCTAAACTACCAGCAGTGGAGAAGGGTTCTGTTTTCCCCACAGCCTTGCCAGCATGTGTTATTGGTTGATTTCTGGATGACACCCATTCTTTCTGGACTGAAATGGAATCGCAGTGTTGTTTTAATTTGCATCTCTGGAATGACCAATGATGTTGAATATTTTATTATGCATATTTACAGTATACAACATAAAATTATGAGATATATGTAGTTAATGCAATTATTACTAGAGTGAAGCAAGTCAACACATTCATTGTTTCAGCTATCTTTGTGGCAAAAGCAGCAAGCTGCTAAATTTACTTTTTAAATTTAAAATATTGGATATTGAAGTTAGTGCCTTTAAGCGGACACTGAGCTTCATCCCTCCCCTCTCCTCGCATGCTTTCTCCTCCCTTTCCCTCTCTGCTCCTCGCTTTTCCTCTCCTCTTTCCCTCTTGTCCCTTCCCCCCTTTGCCAAGTTACCCAAGCCTCTGAGTGCTCTGATTACTAGCATGTGCCACCATGTCCTGCTAAAATCTAGTTTTTATGCAGCAGTTTCAAGTACAGTGCAGTTCTGTTGCTCATGGTCCTTGTGCTGCACGTTTAATCTCTAAACTCCTTCATCCTCCACAGCCACCACTCTGTGTCCTCCGACTTCGTCTCCCCATTCCCCGCCTCATTCCCCATCTCACTCTATTACTCTGTATGCACTTTTGACTTAAGCAGACTCTACACATAAGTGAGATGCGATTTTTTTCCTTATGTCTGGCTTATTTCACTTGATACAATGTTCTCCAGATTCTTTCCTGTTGTCGACAATGACACAATTTCCTCTTTAAAATATTACCATTATTTTTATACACACAAGCACGTGTACACACACATACACACACATACACACACACACACACACACACACACACACACACTCAGAAAACCCCTGTTTTGAAAGGGACTTTCAAAGAATTTGGATATACAAAAAGCCACAGTATCTGCTTAAATTGCACCCCCTTCTCATCTCTAGCCCCGATGCCCTGGGACAGAGCTGCTCCAGAATTATTCGTGTTAACCCAACCGCATTTAGCAGCTCCTGCCATTCTAGACAAGGCTTATAAACACTGAAATAATGAAACCAAAATAACTGTTTCATTCACTCTTGTAGCTTTGCATCTGATTTTTGGTGAGAATTTGGAATTAGTGCTATAAGGCAGTGCTTCTTAAGATTCTGTCCTAATATCAACTTCAGTGTCACCACAGACTTTGTTGAAACCAACTCTCACTGCATCAGAGACGGGAGAGATGGAGCCTTGGGCTTGTGGTAACAACCTTCCTTGATTCCAGTGCAGTTACAGCTTGAGAGTTGCTCGTTTTGGGGGAATAACTTCTTATAATGATAATACTTATAGTTATAGAAGGTTTTCTTTGGGACAAGTCTTATCACACACATTTTACAAATACTAACTCACATCTTCCTCACAATAGTGTCAAGACACCTGAAATTAAAATAAAAGCATTCCCTTCATTTCCATTTTATAGGCAAGGCACATGAAGGAAAGGACTCACTCAAGGCAAGCAAATTTTAAGCAAGTGAGTCTAAGTTGATGCAAACTCAGACAGTCTGGCTCTAAACTCTGAACGTTTTTCCACAAGCTGTGGCTGCCTCTTTTAGCTGCACCTTGGTAGTGTTCCACGTGGAGCAGCTAAGCGCTTGAGTGATAGATACTGATTTTAGCAAGTCAGTTTCCAGGGCAAAGTCATACAGAGACTCCGAGTTAGAGGCATGACATGAAAACGAGCTTACATTCATGGAGGTCAGTAGGTTCTCCAAGTTAAAAGTCATATGTGATGTCCAAAGTTGGATGTTTGCTTTCAAAAATGGTGTATTTATGAGTTCTTGGCACCCACAGTTTGTCTTTCTTCAAAACTCCTTCTTAATCAATCAACCTCCTGGCTTTGTATATTTTAGTCAATTTCTAACCATGGTCGTGACCATAAGTCACATAAGCCACAGCAGAATGACTGCAGCATGACCCATTCCGTGTTCTCTTGGGGGGTGTGTGGTGGGGGCTTGTCAGGCTTCATTTGCTTGCTATCAGTTTCAAAGAAAATTCTTGTCAGGAATACTGACTTGGCTTACTAATTCTTACAAGGGGAATTCCTAGAATTTCAGAGGAATTTCTGCCAGAATTGTTAGAAACCTGAAAGTCATGTTGCCATCTCCTCTAGCTCCATTTGCCCTACTTCATGGCATCAACAATTGCTCTTATACTTAGAGCATTATGTATTCTAAAGCTTTTATATGCAGTGTTTAATTCTAGAAGTACTTTTATGACATAGATGCTTAAATTATAACCATTTCTTTGGTGAGGGATTTCTGAACATAAAAGATATTGAATGATTCAGAGCCAGAACACAATATTAAATTAATTTTAAAACTGTAAGGACTATACTCTTGAATTTTACACTTTCTTTAGTCTTCACTGCTTCTGCTTTCACTTATACTGCTATAAGATTTGAAGCATTCACAATACATCATAGCTTAGTAGTTTCAGCATTCTTTTTGCTAATTGTACTTAAAAGACAATTTGTGTCACAGATTTTTATTATTTACAAGCCACTTTCACCTTTGAAAATGACTTTATCGTCCATATGAAATATGTAAAGTTAAATGATAGTACCTATTTCACAGAGGGAGAGAATGAGTTTGATTGCTCATATGATTTGCCAAGACCTCAGAGGTATGCACAAGGACTTAATCTCAGATCATAATGGTTACATAGACACAGTGGTTAAGAGTAGGAAGTAGTAGAGTATAGGATAACCCTCCTGACTTTAATATCATTGTATGGTCACTGCAAATGGTGTTTTGCTTTTATAGCAGGTACTGTGTCATTGACAAGGCCTTAGAATTCCCCATTTCTTATACATAGATAAGAAGAAATGCATCTAAGTGATCTGAGAACCTTTCACTTTCTCTGAGGCAAACTGTCAGAAGTTGTCCAGGGTAAACATCCTGTGTGTAAAGAGGTGGTAGTACAGTGTACTTAGGATTTCATGAGTAATTTCTAAGAGCAAAGACTATGTAGGCCGGAGTTTAAGCACATGGAGGGGACTCAAGCGCATTATCATGAGTCACCCTAGAAGATGTTTTAGAAGAGCAACAACTATCAGGTGGTTTCCTAGTTCAGCCATTAGGGAAGAATGAAGGACTCCAAAACCAGAATTATGTGAGGAACACAGAGTATCTGTGTAGGCCAACAGCCACAACATGAAGGTTTCCATGCCACTGAGGTATTTTGGGGTAGTTATTTTTGGAGCAGAATACTTTTATGTCCCTGACACATGCAGTAGGAATTTTGGATAGAGTAAGGTGCACAGAATAACATCCTTTTCAGATAATGCATTCCAAAATTATTTCTTTAAAGCCAACAAGTGTTTCATTTCTCCCATCTATTCTCCTCCAATTAGACAGGTTTAAAACTCTGAATTCCACAACTAAGTGACTTTATATTCCTGGAATATAAAAAGAAAATTTACTCCTGATGATTGTAAGAGGACTTCATCAAATTCCAGCCTGCTGTGAGAATAAATCATCTCACATTTGAAAAGAATTATGAATCTTAAAAGATAAAAGCACAGAGAAGACCCATCCTTAGGGACTTAAAGAGTATAATGTGGGAAAGATTCATTTTGATGACAGCTTTGGGTAAGAGAAAATAAAGATCTTTCACAATAAATTGATGCATGTGCAGAGCACGTTAACCTAAACCGAAAATATCAAGAGTAAGATGATGCAGAGTATGCATTTTAATCCCAATACCTCTC